CTGAACTTGAGGCTTCCGTGAGAACAGTGAGTTCTCTTAACTGCTTAGCCATCTTTCTAGCCCCACCTTATAGGGTTTTTATGAGGCTTAAGTAGGCTATCATCTAAGAATTGCTTAGAGCAATTCCTGGTACATTGTAGGCATTATCCAAATATTCGTTAAATAAATACCAAGCAAAAAGTTTGAAAATTAAATAATAAATATGAGCTAATAGCAGCATTAATCTTGACTGTCATGAGTTGTGGGTTCTTTCCTCCCAACCATCTCTGGATGATGTCTAAGATGTCCTGATCGTAGCTTTATCCTCCTTATATCCTGGTGTTAGAGGGAGGACGCAGAGGTTGTACTACATACCTGGCAGATACCCAGCCCTATTCCTGTCTTATTCCAAGTACTAGGAATGATGCAAACTCTACGTTCAGGGAGGGTGACTCAGGGGTGACCCACCACGAGCATTCCCAGATACAGCTTCTCAGAATGAGTTTCTGGAAGAGCAAAATCAGTGGCGGGCACAGGGGGTTTGTTCTGTACAGCTCTGTCAGACCTGCAGCCCAGCCTGCTCAGGAGTGAGTGGGAGAGCCTGGTGGGTGATGGGACACTGCTGAGTATCTTGGCACAATTAACGATCCTTTCCTTGACATGCCTGCCTCTTGACATGCTTGTGGGGGGGGGGGGGCTAAAACGAAAACACAGAGAAATTAGGCAACGGAGCCAGTCACGTAGCGTCAGATCTCTGCCCTCTGTGTTTAATCCGATGAGATTCATGTTTGTGCTGCTATCCCAGCATGGACTTTGTTTAGTCACAGAAGCTGTTAACATAATTCCAGAGATGTGCGGCCAGGGACTCTTGGGTCATCTGGTGAAAATGACGTCATCAGGAAATGAAAGTACTCCAATACGGAAAGCTCTAGAGAAAGTGTGTGCCGGGATGAGTCAGGGGGGAAAGAGAGAAAGAAAACAACACACTACATCAAAACTTGAGACCAAAGACAAACTGTGCATGTAGGCTAAAGGGAAATGGCTGTATTTGGGGGTCACATGGATATAGGACAAAGGTATTGCCCTTTCACCGACATATTCTTTCTGGAAAATTCTAAGGAAGCACAGCTTCTAAGTTGAGAATACCATGAACTTCAGAAAAAAAAAATTTATAATGGAATGTTATTCTTACATTTGAGTACTTGGTTGTCTAGATATGTATTTTTAAAACTTATACAAACCCCAGAGAAACTGGATAAATACCAAACTTTCATTTTCTATTATCTCTGAATTACATTTTAGTTTCCTTTCAGTGAGACAAAGGAGAGCAGAAGCAAGCATGCTTTGGAGTTCTGCAGACCTGTGTTCAAACCCTGAATCTACAGGGAGAGATGGTTCAGTTGAGAAAGTGCCTGGCACTCAAGCATGGGGACTTGAGTTCGAGTCTCGACATTCATGTAAAATCCTGGACGCCATGGCATACATCTGGAATTTCAGACCTGGGGCGGCTGAGACCAGAAAATGTCTCTGGACCTCACTCACTGGCTAGTCAATCTAGCTAAATCAATTAGGTCAAGGTTAATTGAAAGAAATTATCTTAAAGAATAAAGTAGAGAACAGCTGAGGAAGATGAATAGCATGGTCCTCTAGTCTCCACATGCATAAGCACACATGTGCGTTCACAGACCCATACAGAAAAGTTCTCTCTCTCTCTCTCTCTCTCTCTCTCTCTCTCTCTCTCTTTCTCTCTCTGTCCTGGTGTTATCACTAGTGGCACGACTTGGGGAAAATTGCTTAGTCTTTGGCCTTTTAATTTCTTTTTTTTTAATGAAATGGTTGTAATATTTCACAGGTTTGATGTGAGTTTGGTAAAAAATAGACACCTAGGTAAATAACTTTTTTTTAAAGACATGGTATTACCATGTAGCTTTAGCTAGCCCAGAACACACTGTACAGATCAGGCTGGCCTCAAACAAGGGGCACCTGCCTCTGCTTTCTGAGGGCAAGGAATAGTCTAGGGTGTACCACCCTGCACGTGCCTGATCTTGTCTGAGTGCTAGGGATTAATCCTGCTGGGTTTTGGCTGTAGCATATCTCACACTTATTTAAAATGCCAATTTAAAGCAATTTTATTGAAAGAGTTGAGAAACAGACCTGGAAATATACAATTAATTGATTATTTTTAAAAGATTTATTTACTTATACTTTTTAGTTACTCGTATTTTTGTATGTCTGTGTGTTGATGCCCACACAGCCCTGAAGAAGGTGTCAGAATCTTCCAAGTGGGAGTCACAAATGGCTGGGAGCTGCCTGACTTGAGTGCTGGAAACCAAACTCAGGTCCTTAAACCAACATCCTCTAGAATTCATCTCAAGTTTTCTACAGGCTTTGTAGTTGTTTTATAAATTTAAACAACGATATATTTCCAGCTAATTTCATTTTAAGAGGGGAAGTATGAGTTATGGTGTGTATGTGTTTGTATGTGTTTGTGTGCTGCACATGTGTGTGTAAGCGTGCTCACCACTGTGAGTTATAGCTAGGCCAGCGGCTGACATCCAGCTGTCTTCTTCGGTCACTTCCCACATTACCTTCTGAGACAGGGTAGGAGCTTGCAAGCTCTAATCTTGAGTTTCGTTCCCAGGGTAGGGCAGGTTAGAAAGGAAGAGCAGCAATGGAAAGTCGGGAGATAGAGACTGTCTGTACACCAGGAAGCAACCAGAAGACTATGGTAATGGTGGGGGGCACCCAACCATGACAGCAAACCACATAAATTGAGCAATCATCTCTGCCCGAGGACAGTGCTCAGTTGAATTGTTTCCTCGAAAGACCCCTGTAGAGTTTGGGAGCTTCAGAGGTCACGGGGTCACCAACAGGCAGTCTGTGGGTTCATGGGTCTTTCTTAGAATCCCCAACGTCTGTGACAATCCCTGCTCTGGATTCGACCCTCCCTCTGTTTCTAGTTTCTTAGTCCTTTGGCCTTTCTGTATTTGTTCCAGAAGCCAGGGCCTGTCTTGGCTTTAGTGCCTTGGGGCTGTAGGCTCAGGCCTGTGATTAATTTTGTTGGCTCCTAAGCCTCTGCTTGTCTTTCCCACACCTGGTTGTGTAGCTCCTGCTCCTTAAACCTGGTGACACATTTTCCTACCTTGTCTTGTCCAGTTTGTAGTGCCTGGAAACCCCTCCCCTACCCAGTGATGACTAGTCTCATCCATCCCGAGGTCCATGAGCAATAATACCACAGCAAGTACCAACAGGAAGGCGTCTCATGGGTCTTTCCTACTCTAACCTTCAGATACACCACCATGGGCACATAGGGATGAACGTCTGACAGCCCTTATGTGGAGGATGGGTGGAAAAGGCCAGGCCTGCTATGTAGCTGAGGAGTTTTGAACAGGCCAGAGTACATATCACACTGTACTGATATGAGCAAAATGTCATTGCATGAATGACCTTGGCGTCGGGATCAGCAGCAGGTAAGACCTCAGCGCCAGCTGGGGAGTTTTGGGGTGACCACAGGACAAAGCATCAGATGAGTGGTCCGGGACCAGGGACTCCTGGCTCAACTCTTTTCTCAGGATGCCTGTCAGAATTCACGCCTGTCACAAAGCCAGACTCACAATGACAGTTTTGGCACAAGGGCCATGTGTGCGCTACACAGTCAGAGGAAGGTTTCCGTGTTTCTCCTCAGCTTCAACTCAGTGACAGTAGACCCATCCGGGATGCTATGTTTAGGGTTGGCTTGTATGCCAGTCCCTCTGCAGCTCCTAGATCGGAGGCTGCTGGAGTTGAAGGCCAGGTTACTGCCAGTTTGCTTGGATTTAGAATGACAACCTTCTAGAGTAACATCTCAGGGAGCAAGTGACTCGGCGACCAAGTCCTTGGTGACTCTTCCCATGTCACTCACAAGGCACCCACCTAGGTATTTAGAACTTGAATCTTGCTTGGAGGCTCACTAAGAGAATACCCGCTTCTTTCATGACCTGCCTGAGATACACGAGAGGCATGGCCTTATAGGACTCTTTTTTTTTTTTATTGAAAAAAAAATTCCGCCTCCTCCCAGCCTCCCATTTCCCTCCCCCTCCTCCCCCTCCCCCTCCCCCCCACTCCTCTCCCTCTCCCTCTCCAGTCCGAAGAGCAGTCAGGGTTCCCTGCCCTGTGGAAAGTCCAAGGTCTTTCCCCCTCCATCCAGGTTTAGGAAGATGAGCATCCAAACTGGCTAGGCTCCCACAAAGCCAGAACATGAAGTAGGATCAAAACCCAGTGCCATTGTCCTTGGCTTCTCATCCCCAGTTAGGTCCTTGGGCAGCTGAGGATAAGGAACCTGAACTGGCCCTATCCTATAGCCATACTGATGAATATCTTGCATATCACCATAGAACCTTGTAGGACTCTTAACGGCTCTCACCACCACTTTTTCACCTCACACAGATCACTAAAAAGAGAACCCGGAAGATTTTTGTTTTCCAGAGGAGTTTATCTTTGTAGCCCAGGCTGACGTGGAATCATGGTTCCCTTGCTTCAACCTCTCAACCACTGGATTACAGATGTCCACCGATCACTGGGTAGAATCTGGGAGTTTCCCAAAGAGACTATAGAGAATATATTTGTGGGTTTGGTGTGAGGCAGGTAGAATCTCTGTGCTTTTAAAGGGCTAACCTGTGCTAGCCAACCTTGTCTTTTTAGAGTGGTTCAGAGGAAAAGAACTTAAAATAGGGTTCTTAGAATTCTGCTTGCTGAACAGTCCTGTGCCTCACTAGCCAACAATTTTACCACACCAGTCCGAGGCAGGGGCTAAGGAAGGGTTTATCAATTAGTAGAAGAATTTAAAATGGAAGCCGTTATCTCTTCACTATAAATTCTGTGCTTGCTGCCAGCTGTCTTTGATTCTAATGACAGGGTTGGATTTCCTGTGAAAACCTATGGATGACAGAATGGCTACTTCCTGCAAGGGAAATGATACATAAACTCCTCCTCCTTAGTGGCAGTCAGCGTTGGGGTAACATTTCAAACACAGCACACTCTTTCTCCTCTTTTGCTCATAGTTCTGGCCACCTGAAGCTTCTTGTTCTGAGCCGAGGCGGGAGGAGCAAGCAGCTCCTACTCCCCCCCCCTTCTCATCCCAGCTGCAAAGTTCAGAGAGTTGAAGTGCAGTGCTTTGAGTTCACTGCTGGCTCCGCCACAGTCAACCTCTGTTGTAAATTTTCCTCCCGGAACACGTGACGATGCACTTCTTGACTATATATCCCGAGGATAGCAACGGGGCTGTCAGAGCGCGGAGCCTGACACAGAAGGAAAACGTTCCCGGATTCAGCCTTGTAGGAGTTCCACACTTGGGACGAACTGTCAGCCTTTGGTAAGTGAGCGAGCCTCCTTCTCTTCGGAGACATGCAAGAGAAATAGTTTTAACTATTAATAGAGAAAGTTTTCTTGCTTTTTTTTGTTCTTCTAAGGAATCTTAACTTTGGATTTGAGAAAGTGGAAGCTTTTGAAACAAAATGCAAAGTTTGCTTTTGCTTTGCTAGTAAAAGTATGCCTTTGAAATGTTAAGATAATATTTTTTCTATGAATTCCTATATAGTATGTAATATTTAAAGTTCAGAACTAATGCACGGTTATTTTCCAAAATGCAAATAAAGGCTATCTATCTATCTATCTATCTATCTATCTATCTATCTATCTATCTATCTATCCATCTTCTATCTATCCATCATCTATCTATTAACTATCTTTCTATCTGGTGAAAGTTTTTCTCTCTTATTCCATTTCCTCCCTTGTTTTCTTACTTGTTCCAAACCTTCAGCGCTAACCCCTGTTAACTGTCTGACAGGATGCCTTCCGTTCTGCTATTTCTTTCATTCCTATTCTGGATGACCTCTTCAATCTATTGCAACTTCACAAGCCATGTGCTTGCCTTCTGCCTGTCCTGTGAATCCATGAGGAAGGTCTAACTTGCAACTTTCTCCTCAGATCCCCGCTGTGTGAGTGGCATTTCAATGCTGAGGATGGAGTCTCTGAACAGCACACACCCCAGCGCTGCAGCCTCCAGCAGTCCTCTCGAGTCCCGTGTGCCTAGTAACAGCAGTGGCAATGGCAACGAATACTTCTATATCCTGGTCGTTATGTCCTTCTATGGCATTTTCTTGATCGGAATCATGCTGGGCTACATGAAATCCAAGAGGCGGGAGAAGAAGTCCAGCCTCTTGCTGCTTTACAAAGACGAGGAAAGGCTGTGGGGGGAGGCTATGAAACCGCTGCCCATGATGTCTGGCCTGAGGTCGACGCAGGTGCCCGTGATGCTGAATATGCTGCAAGAGAGCGTGGCGCCTGCGCTGTCCTGCACCCTCTGCTCAATGGAAGGGGACAGTGTGAGCTCTGAGTCCTCCTCTCCAGATGTGCACCTCACTATCCAGGAGGAAGGGGCTGATGATGAGTTGGAGGAGACCTCTGAGACACCTCTCCATGAAAGCAGTGAAGGGTCTTCAGAAAACATCCATCAGAATTCCTAGCACCCCCCAGGACCCTGGAGGTGGCTCCATGAGCCACGCTTGACCGAGGAGAGATATTTACCAAGTGCCTGGTTTCACTTTTGCTCTGCAGCTGCCACTTTGAGCAGACTGTGGGCAAGCCCCCAAAAAGGGGGAGGGAGAGAGAAGGCTCATCTGGAGTCCTCAAGGTTCCTGTGGTTCGGACCCACCACTGAAAAAGTCCCAGAGACACACAGCATGACCATTTACTCTGGGGTCTGGGTGTTGGGGGTCCCTGTTCAGCATCTGGCTGTATAATGTGTTGTTATTTTCACTGGATGCCCTGGGTAACTTCTGCAGCATCTGTCTGTGCCCGGGGCTGACAACTGCCCAGGGCAGGCTGAAGGACTACTTTTGATTTGTTAATTTGCCTAGAGCTTTGTTCTTCTAGATCTAATCGGCTGTAAGTATCTTTATTGTGTGCCTGTGGCACTTGGTCACAGAGAGTTCACACATTTCTTTGGGAGGTCTTTTGGATTATGAAGGCGAATACTTGACGGGCAATTTGTGATATGGAGAAAGCTGGAGGTAGAACCCAGCTTGTTTGCACAATGCAAGGAGAGAAAGCAATGTGTACATATATCCGCGTTAGCGGAGGGTATAAGCTATGACCTATTTTGAGCTTTTGTCTCACCTGTGAGCTTGAACTCTGACTTGTGACTGTACAGCATTGCAGGTGAGCATGGCTTTCTTTGTCAGCGAGCTTCCTCAGAATCAAGCCCGCATTCAGGATAGCTGTTCAGGGTGGCACTCCTGACCTTCACAGATTGGGTAATGGTAGGGTTATATGAGGCAAAAGCATTGATAGCTCTGCTATGGTTCTTTTTCCCAGCCGAGTTTTCCGAAGCCAGAGAGGACATGTGTGGGCCTCACAATGTGGGTGTTTGTCACGTAGCTGAGACCTAGAAGTGCATACTCAGGAGAGATTGCACAGAGCTGAGGTCCAAACACTGTGTTTCCTGAACTGAGCTCTGACGCTCATTTACTGTGTGGTCCTGGGCTTGTCATCATAAGGTTCATTGCCTTCATGAGGCTCCCGAGGCTGTGCAGCCCCAGGGGGCTGGGAGGACATCTTTAGACTTTGTACTGTGTGATAAATCCTCCAAGGCCTGGTGTGAGGAAGTTTGGACCAAGTATTTTCCCTTTGGCTGCTTAGTCTGCAGAAGGATGTGTTGACTTAAAGGCGCAGTTGGAGACGAGATAGTGTAACTGGGGAATTTGGGGCTGATCAGCCGCCATCCCTACTGTAGCTTTCCCAGGACGGGACCAAAGATGCAGACAGCTCAGTTTCCTCGGCAGAGTTCTGTAGAAGGGAGGATGTTAAAGTTCCCAGCTGAGGGAAAGAGAAGGCTAAACGGAGCTTCACAGGGCCACTTGCCAGTGCTCCATGTCATCCTGTGGTCCAGAACTTGCAGAAGGTCTTTTGCCCACCGAAGACCTTCGAAAGGAAGCAGAAAAAAAAAAAAAAAAAACAAACCCAAATGCCAAGCTTGACTCTAATGAAAAACCTTTTTAATTTTTATTTATCCTAGCTCTCCCTGGGTTGGGGACAAAGCAGTTACTACTGTCCCTGTGAGGGACTAACAATTTAGGAGCTGGTTTTTCAATCAGTTTTTGATACAGAGTTAGAGGTAATTTGCATTGGAGGGGGGAAGGGGCCCTCTGTTCACTTTAAGATTCAGAATGTGGATCAACTCCAAAGGGGACTCTTTAAGTAGAAAGAAGCCAAGTTAAGTTTGGCCTCTTGCCTGGAATCACTTGAATTCTGAAACTTTACTGCGACAGACATGTGCGTTGTCACATTTTCCATTGCTTAATCCCGGTTTGGTGCAAGTCTGTCTGCGCCGATTACAAAGTGATGTATATACTTCCTTCTCATACATTGAGCTGTAGACAGTTCTCTTTTGTATTTAATGGTTTGTAATTTTCACAAAACTTTTTAATTTAAATAAACACATTTTTTCCTGAGAAGTAGTATTTCTTTGATCCTTCAATCGACACATAAATTTCTAGTTTTTATGCTAATACAAGGCATCACTGGATTCTGCTCGCCTCCAGAGTCAGGCTCCCACAAAGCCATGTCTTTGGCCACCACACAGTGAGCATGTAGGGTCATTTTTTATCATTTGGTCCACTTTGCATGGTTTGGAAAACGAGCCAAGGATGGTCTTACATCACCTTCTTCAAAGGCCTGGGAGCTTTTGGACTTGCATGTGAGCGGCTTGGCAAGTGCTGCTAAGATGTCTCTCCAAATTTGGTCGCAAGAAAACATTTGATTTGCACCCTGACTTGGCAAACGTCATCCACATGTGTGGCCCCAGCAGCCCGGGCTTAACGGGCAGGGTGTTGCCATATGAACAGACTTATGAACGCAATCAAACGCAAAGTCCGCAGCTGGTGTCTGTTTCAGACTCCTCCCCAGTGAGAATGGTTTCTACGTCTCTCCCTCTTAGTCTTGTGGTATCTCTGTCTCACAGGCTGAGCCATAGCCAGCCTGGGCAGCGTCTCCTTTCTTAGTTCATTTTCACAGCCAGAAGTGCTGAGGAAAAAGGACCAAAACCTATCACCCAATTTCAAACCAAGCAGACAAGGGGGAAAAAAAATCTCCTGTGTGTCTGTTTCTCGTGAGTTTCGCCTGTCTTTCTATTTCAAATAAATGTTTCCATAGGTTTGCAAATAATTGCCCAAGAAAGATTGATCTGGCAATGGAGCACAGGAGCCTGGATCCTTCTGGAATAATACAGCAATGGCCTCAATCTACCATCCAGTATCATTGAAAAGCAGCATGGAAAGAATATATTAAAGATAAGGAAAACCTTTACCTTGGTTTCTATTCATCCTTGGTGAGGAAATAGTTAAGGAAACATTTTGAGTGATGGGCGGAAGAAGAGGGAATTCTAAACTCTAATTGTCCTAAAAATATGCAGAGGACACTGTGTCATTTTAATGGAATATTTGTTTTCCTTAAAAGAAAAAAAAAAGAACTTCTAAGCAGAACCTAAGGCCCAAGGGGTTTGGTCTGTGTGGATTTACTCATGCCTGTGAAAAACTGCGAAGGGAACTTGGCCCCGTGCACCTCAGATATTAGAAACATATTTCAAAAGCACATGAATGGTGCAGGATGAGGTAAACAGGCCATCCTGCTGGCTCCACGCTGTTCTGATTACACCTTTGTATGTCAGAGTTACATTGAGATACTGAAAAGGAAGCGATTCGTTCCGGACAGGATCGTGGGATCAAAACTCCCAGGGAGGGCAAAAGTTGAGTCAAGGCTTGCGTGCTTTCGGCTCCGGATCCTGGTCGGAAAGCAGACTGTCTGGTGCTTTTGGGGGTTGTGATTGGAGGGTTTGTGGGAAGACATGCTTGTTCATGGTTCACGTGGAGAAAGGTCATGTGTCATCCTGTAAAACGCAGCTCTAACCTGAGATATGGTAGGTAGAATATTGATCTTATAATGCATTTTGAACTCCACACTTACTTTTTAAGTTCCATACTCAAAAGTCAGGGCTCAGCGCTGAAGAAAACTCTAGGGTATACTGTGGAGGCAGAGATAGGGGCTGGGGCAGACGTTCAGGCAGCTGCAGCAAGGCGGTGGGCAGCGCCTTAGGCTAGGGCTGAACGACAGGAGGACCGTGTATTGAGGAGGCTGGTAGCTTTGTTGGGTCCGCTTTCTAGTTTAACTCGGCTACTGCGCGCTCTGGAGCTTCGGGGAAGCTCACCATCCTCTCTGCCTTTTTTCTTTCAACGTGACGATAACATGCTGGGCCTGCTCTTTGGTGAGCTGGTCATGAAAGGAATAGCGAGTGGCTGGGGAACACCCAGCGCGTGTGAAACCAAAGCCAACGCAGCTTCCATCTTCCTTTAAAACTGTCCCGGGCATGCATCTGCAAATAGGGTCACGGAAACATCCTCTTCTGGGGATGCTTTTCTCAGGAGACTGCAATACTCAGAAGAAGGAGACAATTTGCCAAAGGAGAAGGGTCAGGAGAGAGAAAAACCAGTGTTAAATCCTGCCTTCCCATCTCTCTCTCCTACACAGGAAGGAACAGTTTGGGTTGTGCATTGTTACCATGGAAACAAGCAGCCAAGGTCACTTGACTGAAGGAGCTTGTGGCCCATTGGTGCTGGATCATTCTAGTTGGTTTTTGAAGTTGAAGCTCGGCCTTTGCCTCAGGAGATGAGCTTGAGACTGCCCATTGCAGGTCATGGTCAAAGAAGGGGGGCAGGGATGGTGTTCCCCCTTTTCCTCCACTTTCCAGGCCTTTCTTCTTGCACTCTCTGTGCACTCCTTGCGGTCATGGGGCTGAGATCTTGCTCTCTCATCCCTGGGAATTTTCTTATTTTTCTGTGAAATATGATCAAATGATTCTTCACATTAGCAGCCACGCCCTTGTTCCTCTTGAGTTTCAGCCACTGTTGGTCTTTTCTAGCACTGTTCCCCCCTCCCCTTTCCTCCTCTCCCGTCCCCTCACTCCTCCTCCTCTCCTTCCTTCCCTCTTTTCCTCTCTTGCTTCTTGTCATCACCCAAAAGAAACAAAGGCTACCGTACCTACAGTGCATGGTGTGGAGCCCATGACGCCCCTTCAGCAAGTATGCTGCAGTGTGCACACTCGGTCTCGTCAATAGAGCTGCACTTTGAGCTTCTGTGCAGTTGCAGGCACTATATCAGGTGCTGGGAAAATGCCACCCCCTGCCTGACCTCCAAGGAGGTCATAGTTCCTATATTGATGACTTCTAATGCAATCAACTCTGCTTTGGATGAATTCATAAAACTTAAAGGGAATTTCTACAGTCAGGGGCTGGCCCTAGGGTATGAAAGATGCATGGTTTGTATGTTTGAACAGCCTTGCCCACACTGGGATGGAGTTAAGTGAATGAAATGGATGTAGTGGTCAGTTACCCTTTGCTCTGTGATGGGCACTTTCACGTTGATTATATCTGTCAATCTTCCCAAGGACAGACTGTCAGCTAGGTCTTTATTGTTTTCATTTTATCTATTTTATGTGTGTTGGGAGTATATACGCGACAATGTGTGCATGTGTGTGTGTGTGTGCACTCATGTGAGTGTGCATAGGTCAGAGGACAACCTTTGAAGTTATGCCCTTACTTCTCTTGATGATGAACTACAAGCTATAAGATAAAATACCCCCCCCCAAGTTGCTTTCGGTCATGGTGTTTAATGACAGCGAATTGGACAGGACTCAAGGAGATCCCACGCTTGTCAGTTTAATAAATGACAGATGTAAGTCTTCTGATAGGAAAACCCGAAATTCTTTTAGCCATTAGCAAGCAGAGAGCAAGAGACACAGAATCAAGTCCCACCATAGACAGTAGGGAGTTCTGTGACGTCACATATCTTGGTCAACTTCATTGAACACATTTTCGCACTGATTAATTGAATATGGCAGCATCTTCTCTACCTTCAAAACAGTGTCAGGACTCTGTATAAAGCATTTGGAAAAATGAACTTTTTTCACTGATGGGGAATCACTAATGTCCACTGTGCAGATATGATGAGAATTTACTGGCATTCACTTCGTCTCTCTTAGAACATGAAGATTCATCTCTCCTCCCTCCTCTTATCTCCCCTCCCTTCCTACCAGGGTTTCTGGATAATCAGAAGAGTAGAAACAGCATGCCACCTGTGTGCAGAGTCATTGAAAAGCCACCCTTCTTCTTGCATGCCACTCATGAGATCTCATGTTCCATATGACAACACATAGGAGAAGCCTGTGACAGGCTGGAAGAGCGTGACCACAGGCGACAACTCTTCTGGAGAGATCTGAGTTATTACAAAAGCAGAAAGGCTCTGGGGTTTACCTTCCTCTGTCTTAATAATACAGAGTTTAAACATAGTGACTGGATACTTAGTGTTGGGAGACGTTTTCCAGGTCATCTAACACAATCCCTACATTAGTCACATGACCTGTTCAAAGTCCCAGAAAGAGAGAGAAGCAATATGAGCTACAACTCAGTCCTCCTGACATTTGGTTTATGTCCTTATGGTTGACATGCCATGTTGTCTCTCCAAAGATTCAGCAGAGACAAAAGACCACAAGGGTGTTCTTTCCCAAGTTTTTCACCTTGAGCTGTTTTGGGATGTACTGTCCCCAATGTCGTCCCCTTCTGCTCCTCCCACAATCCTTTCTATGAATGGGCAAACCCTAACAAAGGGTGTTTTGTGCGGTGATCCATGTGGTCAGAGGAGAAGATATTCTCTAAAGCAATGCAAAGCGATTTCTCTAGAAGCCTCGATGAAGGGAGAGCTGCTATTAATAGGAGGGAGAGAAACCTGGCTCAACGTAATTGCTTACTGGGTTTTGGCAGTTCGTTTTATTTTTGTTCGTTTCTTTTCAGTTCCAGCAGCAGGGAGGGTCATATGCTCTTGCTTCCCTCTGTGCAGGATGCTTTCGGGTGTGAGTGATAACCTTTGAAAGCAAACACTGGCGTTTCAGACCTGGACTAAGGTTTCAGTTGCTGCAGGCACCAACAGCCATATCACTAATCATTCTCTTATACGTGGAGCCCTGGAGTAGTTATCCCTCATTTTATCTCTTT